TATACTGCGGGTGACTAACATCCAGAAAGAGGAGTTCATGATATCGGCACAAGTTCTTTCTCTAGCAGAGGGCAAAGAGTGGTTGGTTTCTTCGGTGTATGGGCCGCAAGAAGACACAGACAAAGCAAGATTCCTTGAGGCAATTGTGCAGTTTGGAGACCGCGTGAGCTTGCCGTGGATCCTGAAGGGAGATTTCAACATTGTGTGCAACCCAGAGGAGCGCAGCACTGGGAGAGTAAACAGGAGGCTGATGAATAAGCTTCGGCACACGATCAACAGGTTGGGGCTCCACGACATGCCTCTGATTGGGCGTCGCTTCTATTGGTGCAATCAACAGGAGAACGCCATCTTGGCAAGGCTGGACCGTGTGCTCTTCAACAATGCATGGGAGGACTTGTACCCCATCAGTGATTTGCTTCCGCTTAGCTCCAGTATCTCAGATCACACCCCTCTGCTGCTCACCTGTTCGTCCATACGACCAAGGGCTTTTCGGTTTCGCTTTGAGAATTATTGGTGCAAGCTGCCTGGCTTTTTGGATGTGGTGAAAGACGCCTGGGCTCCAGAGGTTCCGGGGAGTGACCCCATGAAAAATCCTCAACACTAAACTTCACAGAACTGCAAAAGCCCTACACAGCTGGGGTCAAAGGAGCATGAGCCAACTGATGCTTCAGTTCCAGGTGGCCAGCGAGGTGATCTTACGCCTTGACAGCGCGCAAGAAAGACGTCCTCTTTCCAGTAAGGAAAAGAAGCTGCATGCTTTTCTCAGGGGGAAGTGCCTGGCGTTCGCATCCCTCGAGCGGGTGCGGCTGCAGCAGAGAGCCAGGGTTCGGGATCTTCGGGAAGGGGATGCCAACTCCAGATACTTTCATATGAAGGCCAATGGGCAACGTCGGAAACACCTCATACTGTATCTCAAACATGGGGATAGAACAACTACTGCCATGGAAGACAAATTGAGTATGGCCAGCGAGTTCTTTTGCAGGCTGATGGGCACACCGGATCAGAACCTTAGGAGAGCCTGCCTGCGCCTGGAAGAATTGGGCTTGAGGATGCTGTCACCAGAGATGGCCGACAGGCTTGAATCGGAGTTCACAATCGATGAGGTGAAGCGTGTGGTCATGGACATGCCCCCTGACAGGGCACCAGGGCCGGATGGTTTTTCAGGACTCTTCTTCAAATCATGCTGGGACGTCATAGCCACGGATCTGATGGCGGTAATGAAGGCTCTGCACGACGGCCGCTTCTACTCCTTTGGAGGTCTTAACACCTTGATACTCACCCTCCTGCCCAAGAAAGCCAACTCACTGGAGATCGGTGACTTTAGACCCATCAACCTGATACACGGGGTAGCCAAGATATTTGGTAAGGTCCTCGCTACCCGTCTGGCTCCGCTTCTGCCAAGTCTGATTTCGAAAGCTCAGAGTGCTTTTGTGACTAGCCGCAATATCCACGACAACTTCAAGTTTGTGAGGAACAAAGCTAGGTGGCTGCACAGACGGCGTTGCTCCTCGGTGCTAATGAAAATTGACATATCCAAGGCCTTTGATACTCTATCTTGGGAATTTCTTCTGGAGGTGCTGTCTGCTCGGGGATTCGGTCGGAGGTGGCGTTCCTGGATTTGCGGGCTGCTATCCACTGCCTCCACCTCTGTCCTTATCAACGGAGAGCTTGCCCCCCCCTTCGCCATCGGCCAAGGCGTCCGCCAGGGCGACCCTGTTTCCCCGGCCTTATTCATTCTGGCTATGGACGCCCTTCACGGCATGTTGGAATGGGCAAGGAAGCGCCATCTTCTCTCCGGTCTTGGCTGCGACAGAGGGGTGCCGCGTGCATCTGTTTTTGCCGATGACGCGGTTCTGTTCTTCAAGCCAGAGCGTAATGATCTCCTGCTTATATGAACCCTTCTGCAGCTCTTTGGGGAGGCGTCGGGGCTTCGGATCAATATGCACAAGAGCACCATCACTTGCATACGATGTGATGAGGTGCAGGCTGCAGAGGTAGCTGGACACTTCCAGTGCAGGCAACAGGCCTTTCCTATCTTATATCTCGGTATACCTCTATCGATATACAGGCTCAAGCGGCACGAGTTGCTGCCCTTGGTTGATAAGCTCTCGTACAAGATGAAGGGCTGGAAACCGAAGATGTTGGCAGTTGCAGGCCGGCTCACGCTCACCTCTTCGGTCCTCATGGCAGCGCTCCCGCTGCCGGCCTGGGCTATCAAGACTATTAATCGCTGCTGCCGTGGATTTATTTGGAAGGGGGAGGAGGAGACTAGTGGTGGCCATTGCCTTATGCCTTGGAGCAGGGTGTGCATGCCGCGGGAGCTCGGAGGTTTGGGTGTTTTGAATATCAAATGGTTTGGGTTCGCGCTGCGCTGCAGATGGCCTTGGTTACGTTGGAGTGTAGAGGAGCGGCCGTGGCATGGCCTGCCTGATACTATGGAGAAGGAGGTCCACGCAATCTTCAATGCAGCCTGCCGCATCACGCTCGGGTCAGGAGAGGTAGCCAAGTTCTGGACTGATAAGTGGTTGGATACCGGCTGCTCAATTGCTCAAACAGCACCGCAACTCTACTCCTTCGTCAAGGACAGGGGGAGATCTGTCAAGGAGGCGCTGACCGGGCAGGCTTGGGTACATGACATTGCGGGTGGGCTCTCCCTCCCTGCCATTGCTCAGTACCTCTCGGTCTGGGATATTGCACACGCCACTGTGTTAAATCCTGAGGCGAGAGACACGCCGCGATGGCTCCTGACGGAAAATCAGTAGTTCTCTGTCCAAAGTGCATACCGCCTG